AGGACTGCGACCAGTTATACATCGGGGAAACAAAGCAGCCACTGTTCAAAAGAATGTCCCAACACAGACGAGCTATATCTAATGGCCAGAACTCTTCATTTTTGTGAAGAAAGACCATCCATCATTAAACAGAGGTGGAGGCCTCCGTTTTCAGTTGTCCCCCTCTTACAGCGCGGCCATTGTCAGTATCACTCCACCCTCTGTTAACAATAGGTGTAATTAGGTGTCAACGATAGCCATGTGATGTGAGTATCAGTCACATGGAGGCAGGGCTTAAAAGCCTGAATTTTGCCTGAAACTCTCAGACTGAAAGTCTCTTGGAGGAGAGACGAAACGTTTCATTAGAGAAGAACCCATCCAGAAGACCTATACAATTTTTTTCTTTTTGATTTTTTTTTTCTCAGCAACTAGAAAACATTATTCATTGTGCTGTTTCCAAATCCCTATTTTAAATTCAGACAGGGGTTTATTTTTAGCCAGGCAGTGAATGCTAACAAATGCCTGAAAAATGAATATAATTACAATTAGTGAGGATAAGGCATTATGCCCTACCCTCTCTTGTTTGTGCATTTTTTGGTACATTATGCACAAATGAGCAACAAAATGTCTGTTTACTTAACGAGTTATAAGCAGCCAAAGTAACTCAATTCTAACTTTAAGTTATATTATTCTCTATATAATAAATCTGATTTTACCTTGTAGAATATTCAAAGTTTTCTCAACTGTATCATCATTGTTTTTTTAGGTAATAAATTATCAAATTTCTTACAGTGATGAAAGCCAATGTTGTCCCATCCTTGTCCTCGAAGACCACTATTCTGCATGTTTTAGGCCTTTCCCTGCTCTTCTGCATATGTCTTCAAGTTCTGCAGATGCCTGTTTATCACTTTTTCATTCAAAGCAGGTTTGTCAAAGCAAATAAAAATAAAAATCATACTTGATATTGGCCTTCGAAAACCAGGATTGCACACCGCTTATATAGGCAATCACTTTGTCCTTCAGAAAACCCCAACATGCACAAGGCTCTAAAGAGCATATATACATACA